AGCAACAGCAGAAACTGTAAATTGTGTCTGGAAGAAAAATTAACAATCATCACCACCAAGGATCAATACAGCTTATTGAACAATAGGAATGAAATAATGGGGAAATGCAGACATTTAAGTAAGCATCTACTTTGCTAGCTAAATACTAATATAAAAAGAAAAGTAACAAATACAACGCAAAACGCAATCCCATCACAGATACAAACTACCATATCTAACATCTAATCCATACCAATCGCAAACACAATCCACCCAGAAAAGAGTAACCACAATATCAACAAATAATAACCAGCAAAATAATGCCCAACCATATAAAACACGCACAAAACCCAACATACAAAGCACCACAACTACACACCTTTGAAAACGCAAAAAACACAAACGCTCTTCACAATATTCACAATATCAATAAAATAACAAGCATTAAAATAATACCCACTCTCACAAAACACAAGAAATTAACACAACTACATTGTTTACAAAACGCAAAAACAAACACTAAATATAAAAAGCGAAAACAGAAAAATAAATAAGAGCGCATACAGAGGCACGTATGTACAACACACAGACATAAACACACACACAAACACACAGACGCGCACACACGAGCACACACGCATACACGTACGGGTACGTGTACGCCTGCATATTTGTATATATGCATGCTTGCGTGCACATGCACAAGCACACATATAAACAAACTCACAAACATAAATACACACATAAAAATTCAACCCTAAACTAAACTAAATGGTCAAAAGAATAGCAATAAACCAAAGTTAAGTAGCAAACTAAAAGAACCAATGAAAAATACAAAAGAAACAATTAATTGGTTTACCAATATCACCAAGAAAGAAAGAACTGTTCTTTCATACAACTAAAAGCAAAAGACTTTTCAAACATTAAGTAAAGTTAAATAACACAAACGACTAAAAATACATATACAGTTAACACAAGCACAAACATAAACACAAACACGGTTAGACATGCATACACGAATATATAAACACACACGCGCGGATAAGTGCGTACATACATGTTTGTATGTAAGCATGCGTACACACGTGGACATACATGGGCACACAGATAAACCCACACCCGCATAAAAATATATGCACGCACAAAAATCCAACCATAACCTAATTAAATGGTCACAAGTCATCATCACCAAAGGGTTAGAGTGTACTGGTGTTGTTCAGATTGCTGATCATTCTAGTTAACACCGTCTCTCCCAGAAACTGTAACTAAGGTCTGCTCTGCGTAATTGCAGTATAAACCACAGGTTGGCTCTTTGGATGTTGAACAAATACAAATGTGCCTGAGCGAGAGTCTGCAATAGGGATTGGCTAGCCGCCGTAATAGACGAATATCCTTGAATAGGAGCGGTTAGCTATATATATATATATATATATATATATATATATATATATATATTACAATGATGTAAAGAGGGTTACAGAATAATCAACACAGTTTATGGCAATTTGTGGGAAGATAATGGTTAACCCTAGACTTAAACAGATTGCAGTGATCGGGTAAGTATCTCTTGGGAGTTGATTCCTCAAAGCAGCTGTTTGTGGAAAAAATTAAAAATATATATATATACATATATATATATATATATATATATATATATATATATATATATATATATATATATATACTTAATATCATGCTGACGATTGCATCTAGCATGAAACAGACTGTCGCCTCTAAGTGTTGACTTCTATGTTCACTTTTATATTTACACACGCTCTGTCTCTGATATTGAGCACTTTATCCCATAAATATAGCACATCTTATGACTATATTTCTTTATATATATATATATATATGTGTGTGTGTGTGTGTGTGTGTGTGTGTGTGTGTGTGTGTGTGTGTGTGTGAAAAAAATATGTTGTAGAAGTTCCAACGAGAGAAAAGTATGTATATTAAAAAGAAGAGAAGAGAGGTGCCGCAAACGTTTTTGGTTCTAATGTGGATTTATTTAGAAAAAATATATTACAATGATGTTCACTTTATACGAAGCCGAAGAGCCAGTCAAGGTTACAGAATAAGAAATATAGTTTATGTGGATATGTAGGAAGGTAAGAGTTATCCCTGGACTTGAACAGTTTAAGATTGTAGTGAGCCGAGAAACATCCTCTTCGAAGTTAGTTCCCCAAAGCAGCTGTTTGTGGAAGGTATCTGCTCGAGTGGAACTTACATCTCACCAACGGAATATGTAGAGAATGAGGGTGGTTTGCTACAAGTTGCGTAGCATGGTGGGTCATGGCCGTGAAGGTTAAAACTGATGGAACTAAAGAATGTAGGTCGTCTGAACACTTTCCATGGAAATATCGATAGAGCAGGGACGTTTCGTCTGTGGGGAAAGGGATTGTAGGGTGGAAAATAATTCATCACCCACAAGGCCCCGTAGATATTTTTGAAGGCTGTTATGCCTGGAAAGTGAAAACTAGACAGCACCTACCCATATATGGCAGCAGTAATCTATTTTTAGCTTGATCTGGCTCTTGTAAAAGTAGAGGATTTATAAAAGAAATATGGCCTCGGCAAAATTTAGCTTGAAGATCACTGAATGTAACATTAACCTGATAATGGTTGGAGAATAGACCAGATTGTGCTGAAAGCAACACAAAGGAAAACATAAAACTTAACAAATTGTCAGGTCATTATCATACGTCATCTTTGAACTTCAGGCAATTGCTCAAACGAACTGCAAAAGTTTAAAGAAACAATCTTTCTCTCTTCACTTCAGATATGGCACGCAGCTGATGAACCCATCTTGTATATCGCTATGAACGACATCTCCAATGTTTAATTCGAACACGTGTGTCGCCAATTTTCGGCTTTTTCTCTTTGACACGTATACACACCCGCATCGAGATAATACAAAGCGTATGTACGTTTCCCTAGCAAACCGAGCGAAATGATGACTCAGTTACACGTGCTTAGGAAACTATTTGCCACTATTTCGCCCATTGTGTGTTGATGCCGGATCGCACTTAAAACAGTTCAGTTGAAGAAATAGAAGAAAAAAAAAAGGGGGAGAAAAAAAAAAAAAACGAGACAGAATTAAAAACAGCGGAAACCCAACCAAGGGGAAATTATAATCGTATTTATACTCATTTGGCTTGTCAATGGTAGACATTTTAGGTTTTAGGGAATCAATCGACGGTTGAATACGGACGTAACGAGACGAGACGAGAACGGGAAAGGGAAAGGGAAAGGATAGAAGGGGGAATTCAACGGATGTTGGAAAAAGAAAGTTTTAGAAGTGAGGGGTAACCTTCTTTGTCCAGTCTCACTTCAGGACGCTCGCGATCTTGGCTCTCCACAACTTCTTTCGCTTATAGCTCTTACTGCATTTTGCCTTTTCGTTATCACTCCTAAACGAGGTACCTCCACTAATTCGCGATACCTATGGTTTAAAATGATTTTTTATGAAATGAAAAAGCTTGAAGATTTCATTAAAGCTTTAATTGTAAGCGAAAGGATTAAATTCACTATTTCCAGTAAGCACAATACTCTATAGTGTATTTCAAAAATAAAATATATTAACTGGATTCGATTTTTTGTCTAAATTAGCTCATTAGCGCCCTTTTTAGTCGCCTTCATCGCAGTGTAATTCTCTTTATTAAAAATCTTCCAAAAATAAAATATATTTTTCTGAAACTTTATTTGAGGAATATTAGCAGAGTATAATTAATCTGATTTGAAAAAAAATTATTTACTTTAAGTTTTAAATAATACAGATATCTATTTTTTAAAAAAAAAAACGTCAGTAGGCCTTTTTAACTTATTAGACGAATCTCCAACTAATTTCCGAAGGCTATAGCACCCAGTGTGAACTGCTATTTACTGATAGTTGGTGAGAGGGGGGAGAGAAGAGATTGATTCATACTTCCCCAATGGTATTAGCACATGAATGAATGTAATGAACTCGACTGGAATTCGAACTCAATTCTTCAATCTTCACGGCATTTCATTATTTCACCATATTTCACAATTGGGTTTTAAATGGTCAGAAATACGGTGTTTTCTTACGTGAATTAGGTTTTTTTTTTCTGTCACATTATATTGAGGCCGACTCCGGTACATATAATATATATATAATTAATAATTGATTTAATATTCAAAATTCAAGAGTCAGTCTATACGCTAAATCACTTGATAAACGAGTCAGGCAGTTAAGTGATACACGCTTGGATGATCAGTTTGCCGGCCACTGCAACGGAGCGGACAGAGAAATCGTCTCATCCTTACTCCTATGGCATCCTTCTGGGAGTGTCTTCTCGCGAAAATTGACAGCATAGCTCGGGGGACTCGGGGTTGGACATTGGGGATCTGGGGACAGCAATGCAGGATCGAACAGTGTAGAAATGGACTGTCAATGGAATTCCGACCAACCATAGGGAGATCGAAGGATGATGATGATGATGATCATGATCTATCTATGTATCTCCAGTCACTTTCCTTATCTATCTATCTATCTATATATATATATATATATATATATATATATATATATATATTTACCTACCTTTTTTCATTTCTCTTCACATTTCCTATCCCCTTCCTCCCATATCTATCTATTTCCAGTCTCTTTCCCTGTCTATCTATCTATCCATCTATCTATCCATCAGCAAAATCGTCTCATCCTTACTCCTATGGTATCCTTCTGGAAGTAAATTATCATGAAAATTGGCTTTACCCAGACACTATAGCTCGGGGCTCAGGGATGGACATTGTGAATCAGGGTACAACAATGCAGGACCGAACAATGTGGAAAGGGATTGTCAATGGAATTCCGACTAATCATAGGGAGGTCGAAAGATGATGATGATCTATCTTCAGTCTCTTTCTATCTCCAGTCTCCTTATCTATCTATCTATCTATCTATCTATCTATCTATCTATCTATCTATCTATCTAATCTCCACTCTCTTTCCTTATCTATCTATCTAGCTAACTAGCTCCACTCTCTTTTCTTATCTATCTATGTATCTCTCTCGCCAGCTACTCTCCCTCCTCCCTCTCTCTATATATATTTATCGATCACTCCTTTCTCTCTCCCCATCTATCTATTCATCTTTATCTATCTATCTATATCCAGTCTATCTATCTATCTATCTATCTATCTATCTATCTATCTATCTATCTATCTATCTAATCTCCAATCTCCTTTCCTATCTATCTATCTATCTATCTATCTATCTATCTATCTATCTATCTATCTATCAGGGAAATTGCCTCATCCTTACTACTATAGCATCTCTTAATACTATGGTATCTCTCGAAAATTGTCTTTCCCAGACACCATAGCTCGGGACTCAGGGTTGGGCATTATGGATCAGGGTACAGCAATGCAGGACCGAACAATGTGGAAAGGGATTGTCAATGCAATTCCGACCAACCATAGTAAGGTCGAAAGATGATGATAGGTGATCAGGTCTCTCTTGATTCATAACTGACTAGGCAGAAGATTTTTCCGCAGTAGGTTGTCATTTTTTTTTTTTTTTTGCCTACCAAGGCTATAGTTATCCAGCAACTATATATGACCTAGTCTGTTCTGCTATTCAGCTCATGGAGAGAGGAGATGCATACATATATTCCCCAAAGGTATTTGCGCTTAATTGATTATAACGAACCCGATTGGAATTCGAACACGACTCTCCGATTTCTCATTCGGAGTCGTTATCCATTGCACCCCAGTTCATACAGTGAAAGAGTAAATTGTTATGTTACTTATGTTAATTAATCGAACATTAATTACAAATGAGAATCTCGTTTGAAAATGACTAGTACTATTCGAGGAATTCCGAGGAAGAAGAAAAAAAAGGAAGAAAAAGAGAAATAGAAAATGAAGGGGAAAGATAAAGAGATAGAGAAGAGAAAAGAGAAAGAAGAGAGTAAGGTAAGAGAGAGGTGAAAGAAAATGAAGAAGAAAAAAAAAAAACAGGAAAAGAAAACCAGAAAGAAAAAGAAGGAAAAGGTGAGAAAAAGAGAAAAATAAAATGAACCAGAAAGAAAAAGAAATAAAGAGAAAAGAGAACGTAAAATATGCGAGAGGTGAAAGAAAAAGAAGAAAAAAGAAAAGAAAAGCAGGAAGAAAAAAATGAATAAAAACGAGAAAGAAAAAGAAGAAAATAAGAGAAAAAATTAAGAGAAAAGAGAAAGGCAAAGAAGAGAAAAGAGAAAGAGGGAAAAGATCGGAGAGGGAGAAAAAGAATAGAAATTCGAAATATAAATAAAAATAAATAATTTATAAAAAATTAAAAAAAACGGAATAAAAGTCAAAGAAAGAAATGATTCAAAAGTGTCGAATATTTTGCGTCTCCTATCCGTTTTGTCGAGTCCTTGTAAAATCAGTTGTCACGTGATTCTCACGGAATCTCATGAAATTACAAAATGCCTGTTTTATTCTTTTTCTTTCTTTGTTTTTTCTTCAACTGACCCCTTTTGCCCCGCTCTTAATTCAGTAAACATTAACTAAATATCATCAGTTTTAATGGTAATCGAAAATCTCCCCCTGAGCATGAAAACACATTGAATAAATTGATGATTATCTTGAAAATTTGCTATTATCAATAAGAGAACATGTAAGTTTACCTCGTCGACTTGAAAGGTTTTGAATGAATCAATTAAAAAGAAATCATTACATCTTTTAATGTGATATATTAACTTGTTTGCTGACGATGAACATAAAAATCATATCAAGTGATCAGGAACAAAGATATCCCATTAAGTCAATTTTACTTTGTTATTTACCCTATAGCTGGAAAGAGAAATGGATTTACGCCTTTCCCAAGGGCGTTAGTGTTACGCTATACAAGCGATTAATAATACACAGAAAGGTACATCGATTAATTTCTAACAAGTAGCACAAAGCTTCATTAGAAGACAGGAATAAAATGCATTTCTAGTGAGTAACACAAAGCTACAAAACATTTTAATAAAACCTCCTTTCTACGGCGAGAAAAAAAATGATATTTAATCAAGTCTTAGTTTGGTCCAATCAGATACAGTGTAACCCGGATATAAGAGAGTTGTCGGGACCGGAGAAGAAGTCTCTTATATCCGGGTTTCTCTTATATCCGGGTTTTGTCTATTGTGTTTAGGTAATTATGGGCTCTAATTTGGGACCAGAGGAAATCTCTTTTATATCCGGGTTTCTCTTATATCCGGGTCTCTTATATCCGGGTTACACTGTAATTCTTTAAAGAAAAAGAAACCATCTGTGCGTATATCTTTATTCTACGAGTCTGTCATCTGCATATCATACGAACATTTCAGAGTGTTTGGATGTCATTCTGAGGAGAGTTAAGAGAATTTGGAAAGAGTTGGATGAGTCTAATGGTGATTACGAAGGTCTTTGGGGTGATCACTAGTGATGGCGACATTATGCCTCCATTCATCTACCAATACCAACAGAGCCTCATACTCAACACTGAGGCCTACATCAAGTGCTGTCAGACAATTTCTGTGACCGCATCAACCCCATACATTTGGCCAACTAACTCTCCACACTGAAACCCACTTAATTATGATGTGTGAGGCAAAGTTGAGCGAGAGATCAACAAAATTCCTTGTAATACGAAGGATGAATGACAGCATTCAATAACCAGAAGAGTTGCAGGAGATTTCGAAGTCGTCTGGAGACAGCGGTTGAACCCAAGAACGATTTTATTGAATAAATTTAGTCTTTAGTATTTCAAGATATTTTAGTGTAATTTTGGTAAATATACCCGTTAAAATGAGATGTCTGTGTTATTTTCCTTTTCATATAATTTAGACGACAATTTATCCATCGCACCCTGTACACGCGCACGCGCGTATATATATATATATATATATATATATATATATATATATATATATATATATTTTGTGTGTGTGTGTATGTATGTATGCATGCATGTTTAGGTTTGTTTAACGACTAATGAAAGTTCTTTGGAGTTTTTCAAATTTTTCTGGAGAAAATTGAATGTTTTCTGAACATTTTTCATCTTTTATAAGCTTGTTAATTTTGGGGGTACCTACATTCATTTTAGAGGTACCTACATACATATGGGGGTACCTACATTCATTTTAGAGGTATGTACATTCATTTTAGAGGTACCTACATAAATATTGGGGGTACCTACATTCATTTTGGAGATTTCTTTGTGAATTGACCAGGAAGTGTCTATATATGAACCTTTGTGGGATTTTTGAATTTAGCGTTTTCATGCATCGATTGGTGTCCTGTCGTTTTCTTTCAAGTATCGTATCTTCACGGTGGAGTAATGGATAGCGGTTCGGATTGAGAAATCAGAGAACCGAGTTCGAATTCCAGTCAAAATCCATCAGGTTCACTTATGCGCTAATACCCTTGGGAAAGGTATGAATCCTCTCCTTCTCCCCGTCCCCTCCCAGTTATGGGTAAATACAGACCGGGTTCTGTAGCCCTTTGTGGCAATTGGTCTACCGCAGAAAGAAATGGCAACCTACAGCGGGGAAAAAATCTGCCTCTTCAGTCATGTATCGTATTGTGAAAATTACATTGTATGTTCATTGCTAAAACTAAAAATCTTATGTAATATCAGTCCTTCTATTTGACAGTGAATGGATAATCCCCTCACTGATGAAGAAAAGACTTACGGCAAGAAAAATGTGGTTCTACAGGAGGACGCTGGGAATACAATGGAGTGAACGTATGAGCAATTACGAAGTTTTAGAGAAAATGCAAACAAAAATGACACATCAGAAAGAGATTTGAAATTTCTAGCGTACATAATGAGGGAATAGGGCTCGGAAAATTTGACACTCACAGGGCATATTAAATGAAAGAGGGACAGAGGAAAACAGCGCATAGCCCGTGCCTAACGAGCTTGGCGGAACAGGGTTTAGGAGAGATCGCCAACGTCCTGAAAAGGCATGACACATAGAAGAAGAAGAAGAGGAAGAAGAAGAAGAAGAAGAGGAAGAAAAAGAAGAAGAAGAAGAAGAAGTTCTTTTTATGGTTAAGGCTTCTGACATTTGTAATCGTATTTTACAATTTATATAAAATCGTATTGTTGATAACATGTATATATGTATATATAAATATATATATATGTGTGTGTGTGTGTGTGTTTGTGGTTTGGTTTGGTTTGTTGTATTTTACGGCATATCAATACCTCAATGGGTTATTTAATACTGACAAGTTGTTTTCCTGGTAATATTTTGTCTTGTCAAAAATCTATTTCTGTAATATTTTTTCCTTAAAAATGTATAGCTGGTAATATTACTTTTCAAAAACGTATTGCTGGTAATAGTTTGTTTGTTTTTTTCAAAAAATATATTGCTGGTAATAGTCTGTTTTTTGGGGGGTTTTTTGGGGGTTTTTTTCGTTGTTTTTTGTTGTTTTTTCTTCAAACATTTATTTCTGGTAACAATTCTTTTACAAAGTATATCTGGTATTTAAATCCGTTTTTACACTTTTATAATGCTTTTTACGTCAGTTTCAGGGTTAACTATTTGTCCATAGCTGGGACCCTAACAGGTGCTACCACCCCGGGCCAGGGTGGACCTGAGAACACCAGAAATTAAGAATTGGTTCCACGCTCCTCAAATCCTCCTGATCAGAGGCCTTGTTGTTGGATGCAGTTTATCGTCTTACCCAGGACGCGGATATGTGTGTGTGTGTCTGTGTGTGTCTGTGTGTGTGTTTGTGTGTGTGTGGATTATAATGTTTTATAATGTTTAATAATAGGATAATGTGTTAATTTAAGGAACGGTTATCTCCATCTTTCTTTTTTAACGATTCATTCATTCTTTCTTTCCTTCTTTTTTAGTGCACCGAATGACATCTTTTCAAGCTTTCCCGGTTTCAATGCTAAGAACATGTCACTGACATGAGAGGAAAATAAAAATCCCCTGACACGGGGAGGAAGGAAGAAAAAGGGGCGGTGAAAGAAAATTGGAGAGGCTGTTTGTTTTAACTTTTCTCAACACTCCCTTTTTCTTATTAAGTCTTCTTAAGATTATTATTTTTCTATCTTTTGTGTCTCTCTTTCTCAATTTTTTTCTTTCTTACTTATTTTCTTTTTATTTATTTGCTTATTCATTTCATTTCTTTTACATATTTCTTTCTGTCGGAATTCTCAGAAGCATTACTTTTCATTTTCTTTTTAGTTTTCTCATATGTATTTGTCTTTTTTTTTTATAATAACTCGTTAATGTAGGTACCGCCATAGATTTTGGAATCCCCTACATTAATTTTGGAGGTATTTACATTAATTTTGGGGGTACTTCCATTAATTTTG